CTATCTATCTATCATCTATCTATCAATCATCTATCTATCATCTGTCATCTGTATTAAATCAAGAAACCATGGTTTTGTCTTTCTTTTTTGGATTGCCATATTTACCCCCATTTTTAATTGAGTGCAAAAAGAAAAGGAATTTATATGATTATTTTATGTATTCTTTTCAAGAAAACAAAAGGCAGCATTAGGATATAATCTATGGCTAAGCAAGCACTCTTCCACTGAGCTATACCCTAGGTTCATTTCCCTAAATTAGGAAAACACTGGTCCTTCATTGTTGTTAATTAAACAAGAGTTTTGAATAATGATTGATGTCATTCTCATTCATTTTTAGACATCACCTAGTTTTAATGCTAGTTGAAGGGAGCATGCACATCTGTTTGCAGATGATTAGTATATTTAAAAGAGCCACAGCTTATAATATTTCATATAAAAATCTTGATTTTTTCAGCTTTTTTTCTGAAAATCACAACAGTAATCTACAGATTGGCCTCTCACATATCCAGGATATCCTGGAGCTGAACCTTAGCTGACCCATGAAAATAATGCATTAACCACAGTCTTTGTCTTTCACTTTCACAGTGCTTCTCCCCCTACCTCATATAACTAAAGTCACTCAATTATAAATGAAAATCAGCTGTTTCACAGATTAATTTATTAATAAATTCACTTATGAAAAACGCTTAGAATAGCCCTTCAAAAATTTCAATCAGTGGTAAGCTGTGACTGCTCTATATTTTGTAGGTAATAAGCAGTATTGTGTCCCTTTAGGACTTTGGCTACTAAAACAATAAGAAAATTCTCAAATCACAGAGATGTCAGTGGAAAACTCTAAGGAGAAAAAAAAAAATCACTCAGGTCCAAAGTAAAAAGCTCAGTCTCAACCCTTGCCCAATTGAGTGATCTCTTACCTTACTTGATGAGTTTCATCATTAGAAAGAGTATATTTGATATTTTTCACGGTCCATTTCTAAATCTGAATAAGATGGTGAAAGGTTTAAGGAAAAAGAATTTGAAGCGGTCACACTGTGACAGAAAAATCTGAAAGGGGTTAATTTTCTCCCTGAGAGAACTGAATACATGAAATTTTTTTTAAAGAACATTAATGTTCACTATATTCTTCAGATTTGAATTGCAATACATTATTTTCAGACTACCAATTAAATACTGTCCCCTACCCCACCTCCAGGAAATTCACATTATATTTATTGAATTTGTAAGTAGCAAAAGGAGATATCAAAGTGAGGAAGCCTGAGAAAATTAGGAAATATGATCCTGTGGGTAAATTGAGAGAGAGAGAGAGACAGAGACAGAGACAGAGACAGAGACAGATTGAGACTTAATTGAATAGTAACTTTTAGAAAGAAATAGGAATTTAGAACTGATTTATTTGCATTGTATTCTCCCATTGGCATCCTAAAAATTTCTGAAAGTGTCTAGAAAGTATGTTTCATGATACATGGCTATCCATTTCAGATTGTGTTCTGAGATTCGAATATCTTGATTGACTGTTTTAGACCAGAGTTCATAAAGAAATTGAAATAATTTATAACAACAGGAATCTAAATAGCTTTCAGTGAAGTTCAACCTCTTTAATTTCAGATCAAGAGGTGCTAGTGACCAAAATAAAATTGTGGACTGGTCATTTTTGGTATTTTTTAAAAAACTGGTCAGAATGACTGAAAACATGGAAGAGTTATGGGACTGTGTTGGAGTGAGTGCTATTGTGAGTCAAAGCCTCCAAATAGGATGCTAATACCAAGTACATGGAGCTTGTCATGCAAGAACACTTAAAACTTTTTTTTTTTTTATATATTCCAGAGACCATCATGCAGACATCAGAGACGGGTTCGGACACAGGCTCGACAGTGACTTTACAGACATCTGTGGCTAGTCAAGCAGCAGTGCCTACACAGGTGGTACAGCAAGTGCCAGTCCAGCAGCAGGTAATGACCGCTAACTCCAGAGAAGCTCTCTTTGTCCTGCTTGTCCAGCATCACTGTGCTCAGCGATTATATGGAATTTACTTTCTTGTTTCTTAGAGTACTAAGATGGACATACTGGGCTTCCTAGTTTAATTCAGCAACTGTTTCTTCAATATTTCTTGAATTTGTCAGGTTCTTTCCTTGTAGGACCGTGGAATATGCAGACCGTGCTCCTCTTCTAAAAGAGCTTTTCTTACTCTTAAAGGAAATTGGGGATGTTTTTCCTTCTGACATGACCATCATGAGTTTTCTTCTACTTTACTCTTCTCCTTTCCCCATTGCTTATTAAAACTTCCAATTTCTTTCATATTGAAATGTCACCAATAATATTTTATACTTAATTAGATAACAGTAATAGCTAATGAAAGAAAGAGTACGTGTATCTTATGAGCAGAGATTTTGTGTTTCTGGTGTTTTAGAAAGTGCCTTGGAATTAAGTAGCTGCTAAATACTGTTTAATGAAAATAAAATTATCTTAAAGGTCTGGAGATGTGACTCATCCCATTTTAAAAGTTGGGGAAAAAACTCATCATCAGATACTTCGTACAGGTCTTATTCATGCTCAGGGTATTTGGCTTGTTTTGGAAAGATACTGGGAAAATAATGCTGTTCACTCCAGTTGACAGTTCAGCATGTAGATTGTGAGTACATTAACCTGCTGTTTTTGCCAAATAGTGGTGACAGCAGAAGAAAAAATCATACTGCCATAAAACAAGCATTATCTTGATTCTCAAGGTTTGCCTATAATGTTTTAATATGCAGAGAAATTTTAGCAAACCTTGTTCCTATAATTGTAATTAAGAATAAGTAGTTAGAGTGAGGGGTATGTTTTCATAAATGATAGGTTATATTCTTTTCAAGATAAATAATTAGGCCAGGAAAGGGAAATAGTGCTAGAATTGCAGGGGAATCTTTTTTTCTTTTTGATCTTGGCACGTTAACACTCATTTTCTTAATATTTTTATTGAACTTTTGTAATTTCATACAACAGTTCTTAATCAAATTTAGATCCCGTCCCACATCCATGCCTCCCCCCATCCCCCCACCGAACCTCATGTACATATACTCTGCCGTACATGTTAAGTCCTATTCATTCAGGCATTTGTACCCAAATGTCCTTTAGTGTAAATGCATCCACTGGAGTCTAGTCAGCCCATCTAGTGGTTGTATGTAAGTCATACTATCCCTCACCCAGCAGCAATCAGGCTCCAATAGTGCCGACCTGCCACCTAGTTCTCTCCTCCTCTTTGGGACCTTGTTTAATTGAGTTAACATGGGTCCTGTGCTCAATGCCACCATTGCCACAAATTCACATGTGCAGGCTTCCAGTGGCTCACACCCATTTTTAGTCTGTGGCACACACCTTTCTCATGCCTCTTGCTCCCTATTGATTAGGTTAAACTCTATATTGTATTGTTTTGCAAACACAATTTTTCACATATTTCAAGCTATCAATTTTATTTTATTTTTTTAATTTTTTTACCACTAAAAAAGAATTTCTCCAAGCAATGTTTTAAAAGTCACTGGGAATATTGATGTCATTACCAAATTCAAAATTAAACATTATTCAGAAAAGGAGGGCTTGTTCTAAAGAGCAAGCAAAGAACAATTGCAACATTGTTCTGCAATTCTAACTTTAAAGAGGTAACACCAATCTGTCAATATTAAGGAAATGTCGAACAGTTAAACTCACTCTGATTAAGATTTTATCCTACATGAAAGAATGGCTTTGGGAATGAATATAGAAAGGGGAGCAGGTTCCTCTCTTCAGAATGTCAGCAGATTCTGAGGAACATTGTCTGACTCTGCTCCCTTTTCTTTCTTCCTTTCTTTGGTTTTTAGAGACAGTTTTATTTTTCCTTTTATTAAATTTATATATCATCTGATATTTAATGCAGGTTATATAGAGGGTATATTATAATGAAAAGGGCCAAGTAATTCAGGGGTTTGTTACTGAAATAAATGTAGAGCTTATCTCCTCTCTTCTTCCATAAACCACTCCGTAGAGGGAACTATATTTCTCTCCTTTAGCCTAGTCTTTTTACATGTGTTTCCATGTATTTAAAAATAGCTTATACTTCTTTTGCTATGTCTTTGTTTTTTAGTTTTAAGCCTTGTGTTACTGTACTTTTCTTTGGTTCTGCAATAAACAATCTCTCTCTCTGTCTCTCTGTCTCTGTCTCTGTCTCTGTCTCTCTCTCACACACAGACACAGGCCCTTTCCATTCTGCATGCTAATATGTTAGTATGCATTTTCTTTTCCTTTTTGCAGTATGAATGCTAGTCCCCAGAGCCTTGTGCTATTCAGCAAGCACTTTATCATTAGCTGTATCTGTAGCTAATGACTGATGTATTGGATTGTACTAGTACACAATTTCTGATGTATAAAAACCATCATTTCAAATATACAACTCATGGTTGCATTTTAATTTCGTAATTGAATGCTTATGCTGCCATGATATAGAAATGCTATTAAAGTCTAGCATATAGTGAACAGAGATTACTTTCTTTTCCTATAAAACTCATTAACTTTTCGTGGATTTAATCATTGTATTTCTTCTAGTTTGTACAACTACTGTGCTCTTAAGAACAAAAAGAGGCTACAGAGATGGCTCAGCAGTTAAGAAAGTATACTGCTTTTGCAGAAGACACAAGTTCAGTTCCCAGCACCATACTGAATAGCTCAAAAGCACCTGTAACTACAACTCTGTGGAAATCTAACTTCTTGGCCTCCGAGGAGACCAGTATGAATGTGCAGACACTCACATAGATGCACACATAATAAAAATGAAAGTAAATCTTCTGAATCTAAAGAAAAATTTGCTGTGCACAAATGAAACAATTTTCTAATTTATGATCCTCTGTATGTGGCCTGGGTGTTTATTTTTTCCTCTCAGAATGTTCTTAGAATGCTGTAAATCCTAATTTCTTGAAACTTTATAGTGGTATTCCCTGAGGCAGGCCTATTTTCAGACATTTGCTGGCACCTGAATGAACCTCTTTAGCTGAGACAGATAGGTTCTTCAGTTCTAGAAATCTTTAGTTTTTCATTAATGATCACCTTCCCTTTGCTCTCTCTTCCGTTATTGTCACTTTGTAGAAGAACTTTTATGTTCTCTGTTAGACTTCATCTTCCTATTAACCTGTCGCTGTTAATTTCTGATATCATATATTTTTTATCATCAGACACTTTTTGAAAAAAATGTTTATATTGTTTCTTGTAACATTATGTTTTATTTGTGCTTTTGCTGTTTTTTTTTCCCCTCTGAAAATATTAACATTTTCTAAGTTGGCAAAATTTTCTTCTCTTGATATAGACTATTTTTTTTTCAAGACACTCATGAGGCTGGTTTTGGTGGGACATGCCTTTAATATAACATTTAATAGGCTGAAGTAGAAGGGTCACAAGTTTGAGGCTCGTCTGGGGTTTATACTATAACCCTGTTTCTATAAAACAAATTAACTTCTTAATTAAAATTGAAAATTGAAGCACTGTAGTCTTCTGACCTTTATCTGTCTTGTTGTGTATATATCTTTCATGTTAAAAATCTTTTCTCAAATTGGGTATTTATTATATTTTAAAATGTGTTTAGTCAGGTGTGTTGGCTCACACTTGTAATCCCAACACTCAGGAAGCTGATGCAGGTGGATTGTCATTTGTTTGAGGCCAGTCTGGGATACATTGTAAGTTATAGGCAAGCCTGGGGTGCATATGAGACTGTGTCTCAAACTACCCCACAAAGAAGGTCAAATCAAATCCAATATGGGTATAGGAAGCTGATGTGAATGATTATGTGGGCATTGTCTTCAAAGTGGATTCATCTGACTTTTTTTAATGCATAGGAATCTTCCTATGTATTAGTAACAGTTTTTTTCCTTTTTGGCTAGTCTTGTTTACAAAAAATTGTTCAATTTGCTGCCTAGGGGTTAAATGAATGCTTCTGGGAGTTGAGTAGATGAAAACAAATTGTTTATTTATTGCACTGATTTACTTAATCTCTATCCTGACCCCCTCCCCCAGTATGGTACAGGTGTTTGCTCTTCCTTGCTATAGATATTAAATAAAAAATAAACCTTATTACATAGAATTTCCTTTGTATTATATTTATATATTTATAATATATATATATATGTATATAGTGACAGATATCTATAATCCTAACTCTTGTGAAGCTGAATTGGAATGGGTCACAAGTTGAAGGCCTGCTTGAGGTACACAGTAAGTGCAAGACCAATCTGTAGGACACAGCATATCTCTGTCACACCCACCCCACTCTGCTAGAAATAGAAAGTCAGCATCACCAGACATAATGGAATAGAAGATAATGCTTATGACACACAGACACACAAACATGAATGAACTTACATACACACACACACACACACACACACACACTCACACTTCTTATCTTTGAAAAAATGGTGTCTTGTACACCTGGGCCACACCTCAGAAAACCATTGTATTGCTCCGCGTCACTCCCCCCGGCAGGCATATTTTTCACTTCCTCAAGTCAGTTCTTTCCTCTGGGACTTTCATGACAGGTGATACCTTACTTTCCCTTACACCAAGAAAAGAAGGTGAGAACTCTAATTTTCTTTTTGTCACACCGTGTTTTATTTCACATAGTTGGGCTAGTGTTAGATTTGCTTGGAAACACTTGCTGTAGCCTCCTTCTAGGCATATTTGGAAGAATTTTTTTCTCCTTTGTTATATGTTTTCTTTCTTTGTTCCATTTCTCCCCTCCACTAGAAGAGTTTCTTTTTTGAAGTTCCACAATATATTCTGATGGTCCCTGGGAATGCAAACTATATATAACCAAAAATAACAGTGTTAGAATAATTTTCTATTGCTCTAATGTGCTGGTAATGTTTGAACTTTTAATGTTTTCTTGAGTTTGAAAACTGGTCTAGAATGCTGTAGAAAGCATCTAGCTTTTCTTAGTGAGTTAGTAACTTTGATG